CCAACGTTTCGTTTCGATCAATTTCTTGATTATTCTCCATAAATTCAAGATAACTGTAAACAAAGAACCATAATTCAAGATAACATTTTTTTAGGCCACCGTCGGTAGGTGGTGGCGTAGTAGGTTTGTAGTCGAATGGGGATACCCCCTACGGTTCGAGTCCTGCACGGCTGTAGTCGGGGCTTTCTCCCCATTCGAGAACGAGTCCCACAAGTTACAGTATTGGGTAGCCGTCAACACCCTTTGGTTACAGGGATCCAACTGACGAAGCCACGCGACATAGATTTCAAGTTAAAAAAAAAAAATTTTTTTTTTGGGTGAGGGGCAACAATATTGGTAATACGTACTTGATAACATCATCCTTAAATTTGACAATTTCTCGAATCATTTGCAAGAAACGTGGATTGAGAATGTTCTTCTTTTGGGCAAATAGACTTGAAAAACTATTTCTATTACCCCATTCATAGCCTTGTCCTTTGTTTAAACTAACTGAGAATGACATATCTGATGCTTCTATTTCAACGCCGAAATTTTCAAAGAATTCCATCATATTTGGATATGTTACCTGAAAATTGTAAATTAAAATTATAATCTAAACATTAATAAATGATGAAATAATTCTACCGATCATATGCGAAAGATGTAGGAATCAGAGAACTTATTAGTTTAAAAAAAAAGGACTAATATTATTGAAATTCGAATGTAAGAAGCCTATATTATGAATAAGTTTCAAATTCATTTTAGCAAAATGTTATTTAGTACATTGTAAAAGAAAAAAAAAATGTAGGCCAATTTCTAGCAGAAATGATATTTGTTTTTCATTCATCTTTCTTCTTTCTTTAGCCAATATGGAATTTTGTCTATGGTCTCCTTATAAACTCAACAATAAGTAAGAGAGACAGATTACTTGATTGAAAACCACGAAGTCGAAGTTCAAATCAAAGCCATGGAAGTTTAGAGTTGTGGTATCGCCACCAAAATGATCTTCCTTTTCGAACAGAACGACCTCCGCCCCAGCTTTGGCCAGGACATAAGCCGAAACCAGGCCGCTGATTCCTGCTCCGACCACCGCGACCTTCATTCTCCTTTGCAGTATTATTCAGTATCAGACGACAACAACTTAAATGAGGAATGCCGTTGATGGATGGATATTCATGCACGTACAGCTATTTTTATAGAAAGTTTTTTATGTCAACTTTTATCTCTGTGGTTTGAATACTATTTTCATCTTCTACTTTTAGTTTTGATTTATGAACTTTTAAATTGTTTTTAGGTTTTGTTTATGTACTTTCAAACGGTTTATTTCGATCCCTATACTTTTAAAAACGGATTATTTTAGTCTCTATTTAAAAAATACTAAAACTTTTTTTTGATATATATATTTCAAGAAATTGAAACGGTGCAATCCGTATAAATGAGATAGAAAAGAAAATAAAAAGACCAAAACGATCACTTTTTAAAAGTACAATGTACAATGTGTAGAGATGGATCGAAGTCAAATCTACCATCTTGTGGTAAATGATATATATATATCTTAACTAATTGAGATATTGTCGAGCAGTAAACATTATAAAACTAAAACAACTAAAACATATATTTAGTGTAGAATTAATGTGGGCATTTATGATGTTGGGACCCCTCCTTTTCCTCTATTGATTGATGACTTGGGTACTCTATTTTTGCTGGATTTTCTCCGATTTATTATCAATTTCCAAAAAGAAAAAAATTATAATAGTAATAAAATATGAAGTAGGAAATAAGCAACAACGTTTCATATTTGAACCTTCTTTTAATATAGAAAATGACAGCTTAATTTAGGTCTTAATTTATAGAAAGTTTGATTTTATATTTGATATAATATATGTTTAGAATTTTATAAATTTTTAGATTTTTTTAATTCAACAACCATAAAGTTTGAGATAGTAATAGATACCTTATTTATGAGCTATATTCAAATAATTGTCATAAATTTAGATTTTAATTATGAAGTAAAAGTTAAATATACTATATATATATATTTGTTTTTTTTTTTGAAAAAGTAAATATATTTAAATAACTTGTTATATCTTATTCAATGACATATGAATGCTAAGTTTATTTTTAACAACTTTAACGTAGATAATTGAATGATGTGCTGACAGTGTAAATGGTTTTTAAAAAGGATATAGTCATAAAAATGCAAGTAAATTCAACAAATATTTGAATAATTTTTTTAATAAAAAGACCTTCAACAAATAAAAGCACCCCTCAATCCAACTAGAAAGAAAATAATACTTCAGAGGAGACTAGTCCGATTTTTTTTTTAATATTGCTAATATATTTAAATTTATTTTTAAAATAATGATAATTCAAAATTTATTTCAAAAATAATGCTTCAAATTCTCCACCATTAAATCGTGGCTCGAAAAGACGACTCCACTAAATCGTCTGTTCAAAAGATGACGAAGTCCACTTCAACGATAGGTCGTTTCCTTGCCGTCACATTACTTTAAAGATTTAAAAAAATGGTCAAGAGAAGACATATACATATTTTAAATAGCCAAAGCGAACATACCTCAACCGGTTAGGTTATTGACATATACTTCCAACCAAGAGGTTGTGAGTTCGATTCTCCACCCCCACATGTTGTACTAAAGAAAAAATACATATTTTAGATAATAAATCTGCTCCCATGGGGTGGCTTCACAACCTCTTGCCAATTTCTCTTGAAGAGCCGACATACCATTTTTTTAAACAACGTGGCTGCATGAGACGACATACAATGCTATGTATATAGGTCATCTTACTATGGGCGGAAGAGTTTCAAAAGCATTATTTTCCCAATAAACTTCAAATCAATATATTATTTTGAAAATAAGCTTAAATATTAGTAATATTAAAAAAAATCCCCACATATAATTTTTTTTATGACATTACCAAATATGCATACAAAAAAGTATTGTGATTGCTGCCTAAACTTATTAATTTAAATTTTATAATGAAAAGTAATAATTATAGCATTTAAATTGGGCGGTCTTTAGAATTTGGAAGGTAAAAGAACTCATTTATGAGGGCAATAGCTCTATCAAGTTCTATTCTTTAATATTACATTAATTATAAAAATGAATTGAATGCAATTTTTTTTTCTGACTTGAAAGTTAAATACTTAACATATCTTCTAATTTAAACCTTTTAGAAAAATTCTTTAAAACACTTTTTATAAAATGATTTAATTAAAATACATGTGTAATTTGAATTTTAATCACTAAGTTTGTTTGATTAATCTACAAATGCTAAATTAGCATAAAGTAATTTTAAAATAATGATTCTCAAGTCAATCGGGTTTAGGATTATTTTTGGAGAATATACCTTAAAATGATTATTTAAAAATGAGTATAAACCAATTTGATTATTTCAAAAGTGACTTTTATATTATTATCAAACACTTTAGATTTTTCTAAAAAAGAAGAGCGACCCACAMTTTTGACATTCTAAAAACACCACACACATTTTTTTTTAATACAACATGTGGGGGTGGGATATCGAACTCACAACCTCTCAATTTGATATATATATATATATCAATTATTGTTGAGCTACGTTCGTTTTAGCAAAACCAAATACATTCTGGATATAGTTTATAACTGGTATGCAATGTACCTCTTTATATTGATCGTAAATTTGAATACTCCTCATTTATAATTTAATATAGAAAAGAAAAAAAAGAAAAGAACTATTTGTTTCTCCAATTCTCAATTCAAAGAACGGTAGCTCAAGGTTAAAAATAGCTACTGAGTATTGGTTGCAGTTAGTAAATGTCCAAGTAAACTAGGTATTAAATGTCCACATGTTAACATTTTCATCGACATTTTCATATGCTTTTTATTTCGACATTTGCATAAAAGATGAATCGAAATTTCTATAATATTATTGTTTAAAAAAAAGTCCATAAAATAAAAAAAAAACTACAAAATATCACTTAGGTAAACATAATATTAATAATAATATTTTTCTAACTTATTTAAAAATGTTGAAAATATTCATTTGTTAGTATAAATATTTCATATTTTTATTATTTTTATCAAAATATCTATTGACCTAGTCACCTTGACATTCTATCGATTTTTTAATCGATATTTTCATAAAATTAAGACCTCAATATTTAGATCGACATCAATATTTTAAAACTTGGTTAACACATCCCTAACAATAATATTGAAGGCAGGCTTAAAAGAAATATATTATATTTCTCCTTTTTAATCAATCCTTATTTAATAATCTACACTTTTTCCTATAAAATAATAATAATAATAATTCACGTGTTGAGGAAAAAGTTAACTTCCAAGGTAAACCATATACTTTCCGCTTCTATAATTTATAAACAAAACAAAATAAAAAAGCAATTACACTGTCTTGCATAGAAATCAGGAACAATTCTTTGCAATTTTGTTGGGAGCAGAGGGATGAACGAGTAAATATTGTTTCTAAATACGTGACTCCACGTAAAATATATATTTTATATATATATTATTTTTTATAAAAATAAAGATACTTTACAAGTGATAAATTTTAGATGGATGGAGTATGAAAGTTTTTCGTGCAACAAGAGGACTAGAAATTTTACGAGCCCCACCTAACTATTTGTTAATCACTTTTCTCTGACAACAACCATCAAATTATATGTGGTATCTGTAGGGTCTTAGCCTACGTAGAGGCTCAGGATCCAATTCATTTATGAGAGGTACGCAATTCTATTCCTCATCTTGAGAGCTATAGTTAGGACTTATACTGACTCGAGCATGGAGCCTCTTTCTATTTCTATGCAGATTTCAAACTCAGGTCAACCATTCAGTCCGAGCTTCACGGGGACGATCAAAGTCGTGCTCAAATAAATTTACTATTATTATTTTTTTGGTGCTAAATGCAACAAAATTATTTCCAATAATAATAGCCTAAGTTTTATTTTAAACCTTTTTTCCTACAAAACGGAAGCAATGTGGAACACTCAAAGCTTGAACTCATTATGCTGAAGGTATTCCTTGATATGGATTGATGAATGTTGCAACGTTACCAGGTCTTGAAAACACAATCTGCAACAACAATTGAATCATAGAGGTAACTCTTAGAATTTTAATAATTTTATAAATAATGTTACTTAATTTCACATCTGTAAATAATAAAATACTTTAGGGAATATAGATTCATTTTTTACCATATACTTTGGCTTAGTGAATCAAATTCTAAACATGGGTACTAAAAATTAATTATTTTTCAAAACTAAATAAAAAATTGTCTACTAGCTAACCGATAAAGTTACATTAACTTCAATCAACTAAACAATCAAAATCAAGCTAAGAAAATGGCGAAACCCAATTTAAAAATAAATAAATAAAATTCCAAACCTAGCTATGAAGAGGTGAAGAAGGTTCAATTAGTTCAAATGTAGCTGAGGAGTAATCAATCGGACCAAAATAACTAATATCCACAGAAAAGGAAAAAAAAAAAAAAAATTTGACATCTCAATTTAAAAATATGTGTATATACCTGATAATCTCCTATGGCGCGAGATTTAAACCCAGCAGCACCATAGTCAAAATAGTACTCCCAAGTCCGTATAAAACTTTCATCAAAACCAAGTTCAAGTATCTTCCTGGAATAAATAATTTCCAAATATAACACGCTCATAAACTAGTTCAATAATAAACAACAACATTCATATTGATTAAAATATTGTCATTATTTTCATACCTTTTATTCTTTAGGAAATTCTTTTTCCAACACCTCAGCGTCTGATAATAATGAATTCCAATGTTTTCCAAGTGTTCCACACTACACTACAAAGGCGAATTTCACTTAGTTTTTTATCTAGAGAAACTATCATGTAAACTGGCACTAAATTCAAAAGCTTAAACTGATACACCATATTTATATTATAATTAACAATTTATTTACCAAAGTCGAGATGATGTCGTCATGGCTTCTGTTATCCTACCTAATGATGGTAGGCATCCTCCTGGAAATATATATTCCCTCATAAAATCCAAACTTAGTCGGTGCTCATCGTAACGCTCATCCGGTATTGATATGAACTAAAACAAAAAGCTAAATGAAATATTTCATGACATGCTAGCAACATTTAAGCATATGGGGTAGTAATAATTTAAAACTTTATTCTAACCTGTAAAACAAGAAGACCATTCTCTGCTAATACTGATTCACAAGAGCCGAAAAATTCTTCCATAGATTCATGTCCAACATGTTCTATCATCCCGCTGAATATGAAAGAAAAAGAAAATAAAATTATCATAAGATCTCATAGCTTAGTAACTTCCCTTCATTGATATCTCGTTGAACTCACCACGATATAATCCTATCATATTTGTTTGTATTTGCCAATTCACGATAGTCACAAAGAAGAAACTTGATGTGATCCTGAAAGCAAGGATAAAAATTCAAGTGCTAAGATGGTGTATTTATATATATCTGACTTCGGATCATAAATTTCTAAATTTATTCGAATTGTGTTCGTTATAAAATGGATATGAGTTTCTCATCCATAGTTGGTTTTGAGATTAGAATAATCCCATAAATATTAATATAGTATCATAGTTCAACAAATTCAAACGAGCATCCAAATCAAGATTGGTAATCCCAAAATAACCACCCTCTCGAGAACTAATATTGATTTTGAGATTGGAAAAAATTGATAGTTAATCCTGACAACTTGGTATACAAATTCAACTTCCTTCAATTTATGTTCAAATTGTTTGCAAAAAAACAGGAATTTAATCATAGCTAGGGTGATTATTGATACCTCGAGGCCAACGTCTTTAATTTTCTTCTCGGCATATTTTAGTTGTTCCTCAGACAAAGTAATTCCAGTATAACGACATCCAGTTTGTTTGACAACTTCAATGGCAAGGCTTCCCCAACCAAATCCAATTTCTAGAACATGATGGTTCTTATTAATTCTTGCCTAACGATTGAAACATGAAACATATGGAATAACTAGTGAGAGAGGATAAAATGAAAAATGGAGATTGAGATTGAAAAACTGTAGAAAAAGCATCACCTTTTCGATAAGAAGAGAGATTTTTCTTAGTTGTGCAACCCCCAAATCTTCATCTTCCATCTGTTAGAAAAAGCATATATAAGTTAAGAAAACGAAGGCTCCTTTTAATACATTATTATCAAATGTGTAAAGAAAATAGTTTCATAAGCAAACCTTAAAGATAGCGCATGAATATGTCATTGTATCATCCAAGAATAGAGAAAACAGTTCATTGCTCTACAACAAAATGCGAAAGAGATCCAAAATACTTGTCACCCAAAACAGAAAAATGATATAAAATATCTAAGTGCATTCTCGTAGTATTCTGACTATAACAATTCCGATGAACAGTCACTCACTTTTGACGGTTATACGATTTCATAGCTAAAGAAAATAGAAAGTAATACCAGATCATAATGACGAGAGATGTTCCTACGAGCTTGTGTAAGAGTGTTTTGTCTTAAAACATGTTGAAAAAAATACTTTGCAGACGCAATAGTAGCTGTGAATAGTAGAGGTGTCCACCATCCCCTGAGAAAGTGGGATGTGTTAACATATTTAATATTTAAAATCTCACGTTAAAAATATAAAAGATATAACAACAATTTCTAATATAAATCAGCTACTCTTCTTATTGACAATTGGTTTTGAGATTGGACTCCATGAATATTAATATTTAATAATTTAATAGAAAGAACGTTGATGAATTATATGCAACCTTTTCTTCTTTAGTCTTGCCGTGGAAGAATTTGCATCTTCATTGGCTATGAGAACCTACGAAACGAAGTTAGCATAAACTGTTAAGAATTACACGTTGAAAATATAAGAGACCTAATAAAAGTTTATAATAGACAATAGACTACTAATCTTATTGTCAAATGATTTTGAGATGGAAACTTATGAATATTGACATAGTATCAGAGTCCAAACATTCAAATGAACATCCGGTTCCAAAATAAGAGACCTAACAATGCTCTTTCCGTAGCATATGCTTCGGCGAAGTCGGGGTCTAATTCCCTAGACCCCAAAACCTAGGTTTATAAATAGACATAGAATACTCCTCTCATTGTTAATTAGTTTTGAGACGGAACTACAAATAATGATATGAAGGAGAGTCCTTGTAGATTAGGAATAATATTTAATGATTCAAAATTAATATACTAATCTCACCATGATAAGATTGAGAAGTCCTTCATCTTTATCAACAAAAGAAAAGTCTTCATTGATGTATGCATCTGCAAGGCCTAAGTCAGCTCGTTTCATAATCTGCCAAAACAAATACGTATTCATATCTATAAATAGAGAGATCTTGATGAAGAATGAACATTCATTTCATCAAATTGAAATAATTAAAATTACATACCTTCCAGTAAAATTGGGGGTTGTGAACTTTTAAAACAATGTCCTTTGGAAGGAATTTGTTATCTGTTCCCTTAAAGGTAAATACTGTACCAACTTCCTCCATTATACTGTTTCATAGAATAATCAACATATTAGTTAACATAATAAAAAATATTATATGATTGCAGTATCATACCATATGTTAACTTACGTTAATGATCCAGTAGATATATATCGTGCTAAGAATCGAGTGACAAAATAGCGTGCTACTGCCTCCATCAAAGAAGGTAACATATGTTTTGGATTGTTCAAAAGAGTGGAACTTTTTCCAACAACTTTTTGTGCTATCAAATGTTTATGTTACAAAAAGGGAACATAAAGAAATGTTATAAAGGAGTTGCTTTGCCCAACTTTTAGCTCATCCCTATTAATAAATTGCATTAACATTGATTACCTTTGAACCATAATCCTCATGGGTGCCAGAATAAAAGTATACAAGACAATAAGAACGATATCGATATTTCATAAGGCTGCATTGCCTTTTTGTTAGGTTCTTTATCTTTTCAATGTGGAATCCTTATCATACCCTTCAACATGGTAGCTATTTCAGGCTCCTCAATTTTGACCGTATCTCATTTTCGAATTCTATTTTTGGATTAGATGCTCATTCAAATTATTTTAGGCTCTCATATCATATGAATATTCATGGGATTTTATCTCAAAACTAATAATTGATAGCGCTTTGGACGCTCATAATTCTCATTTTTCTAGATAATTAACTTGTTATTAGTTCATTCCTAACAAACTCAAAAAGGCAAAAACAGCAGAATGCAAAACAAAAATCATATTTGTAAAAATATAAAAGTGCCATAACATTTAAACTTAAATATTTAAATCTCTTTAATTATTTTGTTATTTTGTTTTTATTTTTTATTTTTTGGTACAACAATGACCTTTTGAGAGGTAAATTATGTTTTGAACGGTTAAAGCTCGATACATGTAAGGTTTTTTTTTTTCTCTTAAAGTTAGTTTGTTTGGACAGATCATAATAAAATTGATAAAAGAGTCCATCAAAAGTAAAGGTAAATGAGGCATAGTTTAAGATCTCAAATTCTTTAAGGTTTCAATTTTATTTTTCATATAATCTATATTTAGATTTTTTATTATTTTTTTTAATTATATGACAAAAGGTTAAATATTTAATTAACAATAAATCTTTTAATTAATGATCATTTAAGTGCTACGTTAATTTACTGTTAACAGCTTTGATACAGATAATTGATGGATGTGTTGACATTAGGATCTTTATGAATATTTTCGTTTCTTGGTTTCTGTTTCCATTTACTGTTTCTAATTTTTTTAGAACTAAAAACAAAAATATGTTTCGTAACTATGTCTGTTTCTTGTTTTTTCAAAAAAAAAATAAAAATAAAAACAAAAATATGTTATTTGATAACTATTTCTTGTTTTTTGTTTTTATTTTTATTTTTATTTTTTTAGTACAATAATTTGTAGAGATTAGGATTCGAACCCACAACCTCTTGATCGAGAATTTATACATTAACTCATGTTAGTTTATTTTTATTTTTAGTTAAATAAAATTTAGTAAATATAATATAAAAAGATGTAACATATGGTTGAAGAATATAATTTATTAAAGAAAATATAATTTACCATATAAATTTCTTTGATATAAAAGTATAAATTATTACCTTTAAATAAATAATAAAATTTCAAAATATTTTTAATTTGAAAAATAGAAATTTTTTTTTTAAGAAAACATAATGGTTTTAAATAAAAAATAAATTCTCAAAATATTTTAAATCAAAAAATATTAAATATTAAAAAAGACCAAACAAATTTATGATTTATTAAAGAAAATATAATTTAATAATATGAATTTCTTTGATATAAAAGTATAAATTACTAGTTTAAATAAAGAATAAAATTATTTAATTTGAAAAATAAAATTTTTTTTCTTTAAGAAGAAAAAGTGCTTTAAATAAAGAATAAAATTTTAAAGTATTTTAAATTAAAAAAATAAGATATTACAAAAAATTAAAATAAAATAAAATATATATGGATTATGTGGTAAACGAACCCTGATCTTGAGAGAATAATAAAATTATATTGCACGCTTAAACAACCAGACAACCATTTAATTTTAAAACAACTTACACACTTAAATAAGCTATAGTTTTCAAAATTAATCCATTATTCAAAATTTAGAAATAAAAAACGAAAATTTGTTACCAAACATGTCTGTTTCTTAAAAACTAGAAAACATGAACATGAAATAGGAAACGAGAACTTTACCAACCGGATATTTTAAATGCTTTTTAAAGAGACTATAGTCATAAAAGTAAGCACCTCAATAAAAATATCGGTTTTTTTGCCTTTTTTTCTTTTGGATAAAAATGTTCTAACATTAACTAATTAATTAAATGCGAGCAAAATTTCAACCCTCAACAAATCAAAGCTCCTCAATCCGACTACACGTATCATATATTGGTCTGTAATGTCATACTGTACTCGCAACGTTTCAAAAAGTTGAGCTGAAAAAAAAATCATAAAGACAAACAACCATCTAAAATGACATATCATAAATGAATTAAATTTATCCAACTCATCAGTTTAATCTTTGAGGTCGAATGGTCTTAACATGGTATTAGAGCGGGGAATCTTTTATTCGAATCCTTGCATTGTTATTCCTCCTCATTTATTATGATGAGAAATTTATCCAACCCATCAACTTAAGCATTTGGGTTGAGTAGTGGTTTTTTCATCCTTAACACTTTTCAATCATTGTCGAAAATACTGATGGCTCACAATCAAGTCACGCCTAATGTTTTTTCATTTTCTTATTCGATTCGACCAATGTAAATTTAGAGAAGTACATCATATCATCAAAAGAGTTGATTTTATTGAGAAATTTGATGTCTTACTCTATTAATCGAGTGCAATCTAGCTCTAGATGTCTTATTTAAACATATCTTGTTTGGACTATTGAATTTGTGTTCTTAAGTTCTTTGGCTTGGTTATTCATCGTGTTTATTCGAGCTCAAATATTAGACAATACATACTTACTACTTGATTATATCTAGTTCGAGTCCCATTCGACTGGTTAGAATTTATTAAGACATTAATAATCTTCTCTATAATATTTGATTGATAAATATCTACAAAATTTAAATGAGTTTTAGATCCAATCAAATCTATGTTAAGCTAGAATCACATAATAAGTTAATTCTTATGTTTCAAAATCGAGATTGATATAAATTATATATGACAGACCATAATAATTCTTAGAGAAAAACTCAAGGACTAAAATAAGAATTTAAAAAATTGGAGAACTAAATCAGTAAAACTAAACATTTAATAAGAAGGACCAAACTAAAATAAATAAATAAAATTAGGACTTAAATAGATTTTAAACTTCATAATGAGTTAGGTCTGCATGAGACTTTAGATTGTATGCAACTTGCGCAATTTTTTCTAAGAGAATGTCGAGTAATGGAAAAATATATGATGGATATATGTTGAATCAAGTTCCATTATTTTAAATTTTCCAAGTTTTTAAAATTATTTTGTTCGCAATAAATACTTATACCAAATATTCCTCGTTTCGTAATGAATGATTTTACCATATTTACAAATATAGTCCATGAAATAAGACTTTAAAAATATGGTAATTTTGTAGGGTGGATGTCTATCATTTATCAATATCTGATCAGACATTAATTATTGAAAGAGTCTATGGCTCTATTAGTGATAAATACCTATTATTGTCTATTATTACGTCCTAATTAATATGTATAAAAGAAAAAAGAGATCTTTTAAAATGGAACGGGGATTTGAGATTACCTCATCCTATATAGACACTGAAAAAGGTGCAAACCTACCGCCTTTTTTTGTCCAAATGTGTTCTTTTTAAATTTCTAATTAAAAGAAAATAGAACCAAAATCTCTCATATGATAGAGGTCAATTGCACTAATATAAGTATAACTCAATGGTTAAGATAATTACTCGCTTTGAGATTGCAGGTTTGAAACTAAACTCCCACATTATTATTGTACCTAAAAAAAATTAAGAGCTCTAATGGTGCTATATTATTGGGAGAGTATTCAATTATTCACGGGTGAATCATAAAATAGTCTCTTTTATGAATCCAAACATAGTTATGGATAAGTTAACTTTCTTTGAATGCTCCACATCCACCACCACATATTTGTGGTACTAAACAAAAAAACAAAAAAAAAAAAACAAATGTCTTTTTTTTGTTAGATTATTGTTTTGGGACTTTTCAGGACAGGATCTTGGCTAGGCAGCCAACAAAAATAAAATATTTATGAATATGTCAATATTTATCGATGGAAAAAAATGTTAGAAAAAATCTAGGTATCGATCTAAATTAAAAATTTAACAAAAAGAAAAAGACATGGATGATTCTAATATTATTTACCATATCATACGTGAGTGTAATTACTCATGATATGAGTTGATGCAGAAATTTTGTTTCCGTGGTCTCGCCAAATTTGCACCAATTTTTTAGAATTAAAGGGACCGACAAAACCTGCAAAACAGAAGAGCACTAAAGACCGATGTGGCTCTTGCCACATAAGTTCCGATGTTTAAGCCAGAATCGGAGTAGTCGAGTATGGAGAGTATGATATTTTGACATCCCTCTAGGGTTTGGTTCATCCTGTTATTTATAGAAGTCGAATCCTAATTCTTTTAGGATTCACAGAAGTCGAACCTTAATCTCTTTAGGAATTACAGAAGTCGAATCTTGATACATTTAAGAAATCCAGAGTCGAGACGCGATGGGTTCGGATCGGAATGCGCAGCTGTAGGGTCGAATCGTCGGAGTTCTGGTCGACGTCGAGCAGCTCGACCACTGGTCGATCCCGACTCGTCAACTTCCTTTCCTGGTTTGCGCCCTCTCTTGATTCTCTTTCGATCTTCTGTTGTCTAGCTGGATCTCATTTTATTTTCCTATAACAATATAAGATGATAAGCTTTATTTGCAAATAATAGTAACAATAATATTCTAAATATTTAATCGATCATTTTCTGGGCTGAATGCTCGTTTGAGCTTTTAGGCTCTGATACTATATCTTATGAGGTTTCTATCTTAAAATTAATTGACAATCAGTAAAGTAGCCTATGTCTACTATAAACTTTTGAAATGTCCATTTTCTTTTCAACGTGAAATCCTTTTAACGCATGTTAGACGTTTATAACTTGGGTTAAAAAAATAAGGTCAAGGGGCACTTGTTCAGTAAATATATCGGAATGCTAAAGGAAAATATTGTTACAGTTTTCAAGAAATAGAAACAGGAGTATAACCCAACGACAATATCTTTATTTCTAAATTTGAGTTGTGGTGACTCCCGTTCTCAAAGCTCCTATGATAAACAATGAAGTTCGATAGTGAGTAATGGATGTCAGAAGGGATTTAAATATTCTGACTCTTGCCTCCCATCTCGATAAGTGCAAACTTGGTGGTGACGCTGACTGCACACGGTCAATCCCACTGCTAATACGCTGATGAGGAAACAACATGACGAAGTCGGGTTGATCTGCACCCTTTGACTGACTTGGTGGTGCCAGCTCTGCGCGTTCCTTGGATGTCCGACACGTGGCAGGCCGATTTTCTTCCTCACAACACAGATAAAATTATCGAAAGACTTTTTCCTTAATTCAAATAATATTAGACGATTATGATAAATATGCAAAATACCAATCAATCTATTGAAAGATTCTTTAGTTTCAAAATTTTGGCAATTACTTATGACAAATTATATATATATATAGATAAAAAAAAATTTTGAAATAAAAGAATACAAAATATTAAAATAATAAAGTTTAATATTTTTAATATTTTATAATTAGGATGAGAGATGTGAAAATTGCGATAAAGATGTTAGATTCCTAGAAATACCTCTCTGCTAACTTCCCAGTAAGACATAGTCCATGGGCCGTTGTTTCAATTGGGCTTGGGTTTGAAGTGCATAAAGCTTGTAGTTTAATATATTTTTTTAATTTTTAATATTTAATATCTTGTTGTTATAGTTTGAGATTCTATTTACATGTCGTCGAGGTAGAGGTACATGTTGAGTGACACGTTGGCATGTCAGTTAACTTATATTGATTGATTTTTGAAAGAAGATACATAATCCAAACTTCAAGAAATGTATGTCACGTTTATCTAATTAGGTTAGATCAGTAATTCCACACATGCATTTTGTAAACTGGTACTAGCAGCATGTATCAAAGAAAAATATTTGATGATGAATGCAATAGTTTGAGACCTTCTTTTTGAGTATCAAAGCTTTGGATGTAAATGGTCGAGGCTGATACATCATTATTGGGTATCGAGACTTCGAATGTCGCTATAATGTTGGATAAGTTAAGTGTTGAGACCTTGGGTACAAATGGTCAAGGGTTACGCAGCAGTTCGACGCCTCGAGTACACAAATGGTCCATGGTCAAACGTCAAGTTTAAGTACAAGTTTTTGTAGAGAAGTATCGAGGTCCTAGATATGACTGGTCAAGGGTCGATGAACTAGAGGAGTAAGTTTTGAAGAGGTCCGGTTGAAAGAGTTTGGAAATTGGTTGGAAAGAACTTGAGACAAACTTTGGTGATGCTTGAAAGAGCTAGAGACTTTAGCAAGACTCTGAAGTTATAAGACTTGAGTATGAGTTTCTAGAATGTACGTTGTTTGTACGTGATCCTTTAATTAATTGGAGATTACTTAGTGAGTAGATGTACTCACTCATGGAAAAGAATTATTCATGAATCGATTCTCCTTCTTCCTTAAAACTTTAGAGACCAAAATGAGATTCAACCTAGATTTGCTTTTGCATGGTAAACTATATTACATCACAAGTTTACAAAACGTATCCAAATTCGAAGGAGAATTTCAGGATTATAAAAAGTACATTTCTCCCTGAGTTGAAAGAAAGCCTAGAGCTTCTTCAATGGCGAAAACCTCCAAGTTTTCACCCATCTCTTAAACTTCTTATCGCGGGTTTGATTCTTTAGAGGGTGTCTTATCCTTGAGTTCTTCAGTGAGCAATCTTATGGAGTCTGAAACTTCCGCCTTGTAAACGTAGAATCTTGAAACCACGAGGAAGAAGATGAAGTTCAAGCAGTTTAGAATGGCGAAGAAGCCGTAGTAGTAGTCGAGATGGGAAGCGTTTAGGTTGTTCAGGATCCACCCCTTTCGCCCGTGGCGACTCGTGAGGTCCGAAACCGTTGCAAGGAGGAAGCTGCTGAGGAAATTCCCAGTCCCGATCGCCGTCGTCGAGTACGACGTCCCCAAGCTCTTCATGCTCTCTGGTGCCTGACGTTAACAATATGAATAAATAATTAAATAAATTCTAAGTAATCTATGTGAACTTTTGAATTTAGTTATTATTTAATATAGTATAAGAAGTTAGAACATGTCGCCATGTATTCAAATCTTTATTGTGTCATTTTCCTCTTTAATTGATATGGATCGTAGAGGCTTGTGCTAATTATCTAAATCGTTAATTGAGAGAGAGTTTTAGGAATATTCAACGAGTCCTTACTGATCATGTACTATTTTTTAGATTGAGTCTCTATTATATTAGAAAATATTTGTCCACACAGTAAGTAAGAGGATCTATTGACTTTATGACGTGATTTAGGGATTTGAACTTACAATCTTTTGATTTGAGTTATATATCAATGAGTTATATTGGTTTTAGTAAATTTTGGACTCGAAAAATTGACAGTCATTTATTATTATATTTTGTTGTCAATTATTTATTTATCGATAAAATCTAAAAATACTCAAACATTAAATACTAAAACAAATATTTAACGAATTATAAACTTTTTAAGTTCAGGGTTAATTTGATAATTACCTGATCATAGAAGAACTCGATCTTGGAAACCTCCATGAAGGCGTCGGCGGTGCCCATGAGAATAAACTGCGGCAGCAAAATGAAGATGCTCAACGGAACTTGAGCGCCGCTGTCGACGACGCCGTGTTCTCTCGCCGCCGCCAGCCGCCGGCGCTCGACGAGAGAGCTGACGGTCATGATAAGGGTGTGGAGGACGATGCCGATCCCCATCCGCTGCAGCAGAGTGATCCCGCGGGGGTTTTTGGTGAACTTCCTCATGATTCTGACGAAGACGCGGTCGTAGACGACGACGCTGACCAGCAAGGAGAGGGTGACGACGCCACTCAAGCTCGCCGGCGGGATGCTGAAGTTGCCGATTCTCCGGTCGAGGGTGGTGCCCTGTTTTATGAACAGAGTGTTCACCTGAGCCAACATGATGCTTGGGACGAAGGTGGCGAATAGGATGGGAATCATGCGGATCATTTGCTTCGTCTCTTCCACTTCTGTTACTGTGCACAGCCGCCATGGATGAGTTGAACCCGTTTGGATTGAAGCTTTGTTGAGTATACTGAGGAGAGGAAAAATAATAAGTTAATTAGTTTGATGAATTGAGGAAGATTTCAATTTCTTAATAAGGTTGGATCATGGCTTTTTTGTCTCGTCGATCGAATTAGACCGGATGCTCGATTGAGTTTTTTGGTTCTAATACCATATTAATATTTATTGGATTACATCTCAAAACTAACCAATAATTAAAAGAATAATTCATGTCAGATCTTTTTTCTTTTCAACGTGATTTTATAAACACTTTGAAATTAAAAAGATTGTACTTATCCCAAGTCTATGGTCTAATTACATGAAATTGAAATTTTCGGAAAATTTATCAACTTTGTCAGGTTCAAGCTTTTAGTTTAATATGGTATCAATAGTTATAGTTATTTTTCTAGTTTGTCGGTCTCCGATTATAAATTCTTGTTGGTCAGTGCCTACAAGAATGAACAAGAATGAGGCTATTGATTGGAAGGTTTCCGTTTTGTAGCGGTAAAGAAAAAGGAAATTTATGTTGTTAAAATCAAAGATGTTTCAATACCAAAGGAATGAAACTAGATGGACACTTGCATTAGCGGTTGAGGTACCAAAGAGAAAGTCATAGCTTCTGGCGACTAGCTTCTACTGCTTGGACTTAGGGTCGTAGTCGTGCAACTTCAAGGGTAAAACTTGATCTTTGTTAAATATAAGTTAGGTTCAAACTTCAAAATAATATCTATTTAATTTTTGTACTAGGAAGTTTCTAGTTAATTCTTAAATTTTTGTGTTTGTGTATATTTAGTCTTTGTACTATATAGATTTATAATAATTAAGTTCATTTTCTTCACGTCAAATGTTCAAACTTCCACCACCTATAACTTATAATTTAACTGTTTAAATCAAATAGTTGAATTTCTTTTTGACATACCTCAAAGTTGGCGTGAACTCCATCCTAAACTTCTTCTTCTTCGTATACTCCTCAACATCCAACTCGTACAGTTCCTTGGCTTCCACCGGGAGCGGCAGTTTCCGATTCCTAATGGCGGCGACGATGACTTTCGCCATCCGAGTGAAAGGACTTCCAGCGGGAACCTTGTGGCGGTAAAATGGAATCCCGACGACGAAGATTCCGATCGAAATGGCGAGCCCGATAGTAGGGAGGCCATATCCAAGGGTCCAACCAATGTTGTCTTGAATGTAGACGAGGATTATGTTGGCAAAGAGGGTGCCAAAGAAAATGCTGAACATCCACCAGTTGAAAAAGGAGAGCTTCTGCTTCTTCTCCTTCGGGTCGAATTCGTCGAACTGGTCGGCGCCGATCGTCGAGATGTTCGGCTTCGTACCACCCGTGCCGACGGCCAACGTGTAGAGCGCACCGTAGAACACGGCGAGCTGTAGTGTGGAGGCCTTCCCGCAATTGCCTGTGGTTGGTTCTGCACATGGTGGCGGCCTCAGGGTTGGGAGAGAAACTGCCATTGTTAGAAGAGACATGCCCTGTTCCAATGTTGTTGGAAAATGTTAAAAAAAAAATTAAATTAAATATTTTAATTTTCACATTTGTCATGTCTATCTAGTCTCGTATTTTAAAAAGTTTACAAAAGATCAATCACTTTCGATGTTATCTAAATTACGTCTCCGTCGTTAATTTGTAGTAATTTAATGTTTTTCTAACTCTATGATTAAATATTTAGTTGTATAGTCATTGAACTAATAAAGTTAAAGCAAAGAAATTTTATTAAACATAAAATTAAAAATGTTTGGAAGATCAAATAAATACAAAATATACAACTTTAGAAGTTGATAAATTAACTTTTTGGTATTCGTAATATATTGAACTATTAACTAAATTAAAAATTAGGTTGAAAAGATTCGAAAAGGCAAGATTTTAAAACTATTTCTTTATAACCAAAAAATCAGATTCTAAGGATCCTCATTACTTTATTTAATTGTCTTCCACTCCCAAAAGGTTGAAGTTTTAGCCTAATAATCTGCTCGAAAAGTGAGCATAGTTTATAATGGACCAATGATGGACAAAGTCATAGCTGTCCCATTAGTCCTCGTCAAAAAATAATAATAAGTTTTTATATTTTAATTATTATATCAATTTTGTTTTTCTAAAGCTTTATTATAATTTCATCATTTAAGTCAAATTTACTTAACACATGCCTTCGACAATAAACTTTATAATATGACATTTTACTTTAAGTACTGCGCATCAGTTTATAAAATATAAATTTATTTTTCTTTTCTTTAATATAACAATATGGGGGAGTAGAAATTGAAACTCACAACCTTTTGACAGAGATAGAAGATAAAGATCGTCTTAACCAGTTGAGCTAAATTTAGGTTCGTGAAAAACATAAATTTATTAGTTAAGTTTTAAAACAATTTTGGTTGAAAAGTAAAAAATAGACTAAACGAATTTGTATGTGTACAACTTATTGTGCTGAAATTGGAGTTTTATCGGTCTTGAACTATAAATAACTTGTGAGATTAAATTTATTCGGTTAAAAAACAAAACATCTAGTGAACTTTTGATTAACTAAAGAACTACCTTGTCACTACGACTTTCTATTTAGACGCGATCATACCACATGTGAGATGGGGATTCAAATTCATAATCTTTTAATCAGAAATAAGTATCCCAATAGACTATTTTTATGTTGGCAATATTAAACCATTACGAAACTCCTATACTCATATACTATATTAAATGACTATTAATTATAGAAATTTAATTTAATACATTATAGTAGTCAAACATTGAGACAGCAAAAGTCAGGCCGACAGTGACTGATTAAAACGTTTTACTAAGACAAAGAGCAAATTAAGGAACAAGACATATATATCTTTCCTAGTCAACATTTGAAACTAAATTATTGGTTCCTTCTTATCGGCAATCTAAATTCCAAACAATTAAAATAATAGAAAGAGCAACCACCACCGTAGATATTTCACATAATCCCAAACTATATGCAATAATTCAACCTTATATTAAAATACAAATATGAAAAAGTTTTATAAGATTACACGGCTGTGATTCTTTTAAAAGTACTATATTTGATTTGGATTCTAGTCTATTTTTTTGAAAAAATGATATTTTGAGAACTATTTATTTTTTGGTAACGTTTCAATTTCTTGTTTTCTGGTTCTCGTTTCCAATCTGTTCCAACATAAATAAAAATCTTGTTTTATCATTCTTAAATCCATGAACGTTGGGAGTCATGCAATTCTCTATTTTTCTTTTTTGAAAATGAGGAAACAGAAACAAGAAATGGAAACGTTACTAAACAGGCGTTTTTTAACATTTTTAAAATCTTGACCAATTTTTGAAAAACAAAAAAGTAGTTTTCAATTAAATTTTACAAAAACAAAACTAATTTCTAAAATCAAAAAACAAAAAAGGAAAATAGTTAATCGAACATAGTTTTACAAAATTAGATTGAGAGATGACATACCGATAGATAGATAATAGAGGCAATGATGAAAGTCCAAAATCGACCGAGATAAGCATCGGCGACGTAGGCGCCCAACACAGGGGTCATCCACACTGCACCCACCCAATTGGTGACATTGTTGGATGCTGTCACAGTGCCTTGATGAAGCTTATTTGTCAAATACAATATGAGATTGGAAGATATCCCATAAAATGCCATCCTTTCGAACACTTCATACACTGTATAGTACAAAATTACAAATTAAGACATCATTACTTTCAATTTATCACAATACAACTCTTTTTTTTAATTGTTCTAAACAGAAAATACTTCACCAGGCGCGTAAAGAATCTAATATTTTTTAACTTTGAAAAAAGTGCCTCAACTTTATTGAAAAACACACGTGTATGTCCAAGCTCAGTGACAATATTTGTCATGTGATGTGCTAAACTAGAGCCTCTTGTGTTTGTCTTTCTAAATATTCTATTCAAAGAAAAGGGAGAGTGGATGTCATCAATTATGAGCCAACCATTATGAGTAGATAAGATAATATACACTCCATCAAATTGCACCAAATGAAAAGAAAACAAACAAAATTCTAAATAATTATCAATAGTTTCATCCTCCACTTCCTAACTATTGATCCAGTAAAAATGACTAAATTTACGAGTATGAGAAACAAAACAACGTTGTAAGAGTTCGAATTCATCCTAATCTCGACGAACCTAACTAACAAGGTAAAACACACTATTGGTAACTAGTAATCTCCCTCGAAGATTCAAGGGGTAAATTCTTAATCAGTGCTAAATCGAGAAGTAATTTAGAAGAAAAATTAAACCGATACGAGAGAGAGAGAACGAGCGAGATACCAACAATAAAGGAGCAAGCTTTCCATCCACCCCTCTTGGAACGAAGAACTGGATTTCCCTTGAGATCCACAGTTCCATCTTCTGTGTAATCATCACCCAAATTGCCTTCTTCTACACCCATATCAAATTTCTCTCTCTAAATCAAATTTCTCTCTCTCTTCTCACATGCAGAGAACCACCCATAAATTATTTGTATTTATAGACACAAAAACCAAGTGAAAACAGAGGGGAAAAAAGATTCTTTTTTAAAAAAATGGAAAAAAAAGACTGTTTTTGTGTTGTATTTTCCTTTTGGGTATTAATTATCAATATTTGGCTTTGCTTCTCTCACTCACTCATTAATGACCTTTTTGACCTCACACATTTTTCTTTTTTCCAATTTAATTATTCCACACCTACCCACATTCAACCGTGTGCCCAAAAAGACTTGGCTTTGCACCAATCAGGAAAAGAGGGATGATAACTTAAAAGCATGGTTTCAATATTTTCATGTCTATTATACCAAAAGAATATAAATGATAGTAATTTTTCTTTTCTTTGTTTGAGAGAGGAAAAGTTCGATTAGAATTAGTGGGTATAAGTTATAACCAACCCGAACATATTGAGGTACCATTAATTTTTTTAAGATGTCGGAGATTTAAATCTTTAATGTCAGTGTCATTTTTAGTTGTACTAAAAATTGTGGGTGTAACAAATTTTTATTGCGAAAGGTTAAAGTCCACGCAACTCCAACATGATAAATAACATTGTTTCTTTATGAGTTTAAGGTTTTTGAACTATATATATATATACTCTCACATTTTTAATGTTATCAGTTCTTTAAGGTACAGTTACATTTCAATTTTATTTTATTGTAATTCTATTTTTAAAAAGTTGACCATTCATTAAAAACTATAATCATTTATATTTAGAAAATAAATTATTTATAAAATATTAAGTGATCTTTCGATATAATTTGATAATTATTAATTCTTTTTAAAATTTAATAATAATTATTAAATTAAGGAGCTTATAATTTAATTGAATCAATTACTTTATATATTTTTACAATAAATTCTATGATTTATTTTCTTTAATTTTTTATCAATACTGAATTTTATAATAAGAAAATTACATAAATATCAAAATAATTTTTTAAATAGTTTGAAAATTCATTTACGAATTAATTTTTTTAATAATTAGAAAACGTAAAAAGAAAATAATTTTAATGTAAACATGTCGGTAATAAAAGTATTGAATTTGATATGTATTTTTAATTAACAATTAAAAATGAGATAATTTAAGTATTATCTAAATCTCAAGGTTAGTACCATCCCAAAAAAAAATATTTGATTAGACTTTTACAATAAAATGTAACGCCATAAATCTTATCCTTCATTTTATGAATAAATTAGAAAAAACAATTTATATTAAATATTTTCACATTCTTTTCATTGTAAATTTTTTGAATATATTTAAATTATTAGTTTCAAGGTGTATTTAAATTTTCATTTTAAAATTTATTTAACTATTAAAAGTGAAAAAAAAATTAAATTTTAAATTTTAAAAGTCAATGTTTTGAACAAAGAACTTATAAATGTTTATTTGGTAATGTCAATTTGATTAATTTTCATTTACCAATTTAACTTGTAACCATGGTAAAAAGTCAAAAATAAAAAATAAAAGATTGACTTGGAAATTCAAAAGTCATTAATTTCGAAATAAAAGGTTTATGATGAATGTAAAAATGTCTTCTTTGTTTTTATTGGTCACTAATATTTTAGGTTGTACAGCTATCCATATTCTACTCTTTTATAATTATGAGAGTAATCAATTTTCGATTACCAATGGTAATCTAATTTTCTAACCATTACGAGAAGTCAAAAAAAAAAAGATTAAATTAGAAATGAAAAGTCATGAATTTTCAGTTTATGATGAACGTAAACATCTTTTTTTTTTCTTTTTAATTTTGATTGGCCACTAATATTTTATGTGGTAAAACTATTCCCATTATTTGTTCTTTTTCTATCAAAAAATAAATAAATAAAACTATTCTCATTATATTTATACAAGTAATTAATTTTCATTTACTAATTTAATTTTCTAATCATTATAAAAACTCAAAAATAAAAAATAAAAGATTAACTTAAAAAGTGAAAAGTCATGAATTTTAAAATGAAAGGTTTATGATGAATATAAAAATATACTTTTTTTAATTTTAATTGGTCATTGATATTTTAGGTTGTAAAACTATCCATATTCTACTTTTTTTATAATTATGGGAGCAATTAATTTTCATTTACCAATTTAATTTCTATCCATTATAAAGAGTCAAAAAAAAATAAAAGATTAACTTAGAAAATTAAAAGTCGTGAATTTTAAAATGAAAGGTTCATGATGAAAGAAAAAAGGTTTTTTGTTTTAATTTTGATTGGTCATTAATATTTTAAATGGTAAAACTATTCTCATTCTACCTTTTTATATTATAGGAGCAATTAATTTTCATTTACCAGTTTAATTTTTTAACCATTATTAAAAATAAAAAATAAAAAATAAAAGATTAACTTAGAAAATAAAAAATCATGAATTTTAAAATGAAAGGTTTGTGATGAATGTAAAAATGTTTTTTTAAATTTTAATTGGCCGTTAATATTTTAGGTGGTAAAACTATCCCCATTCTAACTTTTTTACAACTATGGGAGCAATTAATTTTCATTAGCAATTTAATCTTCCAACTATTATAAAAAGTCAAAAATAAAAAATAAAAGATTAACTTAGAAAATGAAAAGTCTGAATTTTAAAATGAAAAGTTTGTGACGAATGCAAAATTTTTGTTAATTTTGATTGTTCAATTAGTATTTTAGGTGATAAAACTATATCTTTTTTTATAATTATGAAAGCCATTAATTTTTATTTACCAATATAATTTTCTAATCATTATAAAAAATCAAAAATCAAAAATAAAAGATAAAATATTAATTTACATGTTTTAATATTTTTAAAAAATGAAATAGTGTATTTATAAAAAAAATTAACTTTTTAAATATAACTCTGCATTTTAAAGTTTTTTAAAGAATAATATTGTAAAAAATACTTTTATATATATTATAGATAGATCGAACTCACAACCTTTTAGTAGAAGATATATGTCAATTACGGTTTAGCTATGCTCACTTTGGTATTGACTTCTTGATTATAATTCTCGATTTTGCAAAAAAAACAAATATCATAGACATCTAAGAAAATGAATAATTTCCTCAAAAAAAAAGTGAATCTTGAAAATAGTTCTTTTATGGATAAGTTTCAAAATTTAATAGGGTAGCTTCATTATTAATCAATTTTTTTATTAACATTGTCTATTCCAAGTGGGTGTTCCCAGCAAATATTCGATTGTTTTGAGATTTGAGAATATATGTTGAAATTTTCTCCTTTTTTTTTCTTCTGAAACTGAAATAAATATTAAACTTTTATACATTACACCTTACACGTGGACCAATAACATTTCGTGACCGATGGATAATCCACAACACGAAAAAGAAAAAAGAATATTAATATAAATTGTCAGTTTGTCCCATAGAATTTCTTTTAATAGAATCTAATGAAAGAAACATATGGACTGGGGTTCATTAAATGCAGAATTAAATTGTAATTTAAGATAAATAATATTTAGGTGGTTACAGATATACCTACTTGCTACCATTAAAAAGAATTTGACACAAATGAATGCATAAAAAAAATATATAAAATTAGATTTTATTTTATTTTATTTTATTTTATTATTATTATTTTTTCTTTGAAGTAAAAAAAAAGTAAAAGAACAAAAATTAAAAATTAGAGATCGATGGTTAAAACCTGCTCTAACCAAGGACAATCCATCCCAAATTGCCTCTCTCAGATCGATGGTTCGTATAATAGAAGAGATTCCTACTTATCGTAAGCCCCTAAATATTATTCATTTAAGACTAACTACCAATTAACACTACTTTAATAATCTTTTTTTTCCTTTTTCTTCGCTTTCAATTTTATTTGAGCAAGAAAATGACTCACTCTTTTTTTTAATAATAATCCTTAAATTACCGATTTGGTCATTTTGTTTGAGCTTTTAAGTGTTTTTTTTGGAAAGAGCTTAAGTTCAACTGAATTAATTCATATAATTTTAAAAGGTTTAATTTTATTTTTATGATTTGGATTTTATTTTCAATTTAGTACATTAGATTTGGTTCAACTTGGTAAACATCGTTGCTAAATCATTTAATACAATAGGCTAACATGAACAATTAGAAAAACAAACCACAATAATTCATTATTCTGTCAAAAAGTTAGAAATAGTTTACCACAGTAGGACAGCTTATAAAGTTTCACCAAACATACGAAATCATATTGAAACTTTTAAAACGGTAGGTATAATATTTATAACAAAATTCAAACTTCTGCGTTTTAAAATTGTAAAAATTAGGTTGTACAAATATGAAATTGATTATTTAATGCGAATGCCGTAACGATTAAAAACAAAAAGTATAAATCATAAATCATAAAATATAAAATGGAAACGTTATTATATATGGCTCTCTTTGATAAAATATTGAATAAATTTATAGAAGAAAGTATTTTTGAAAAGCAAATGTGACCCCATATCCCATATTTGATGTCCCTTTCGTTGACTTGGAAGCTAAAATAGGACCCCAAAGTTCTTTGTTATAGTGTTATCGACTTTTCAATATGACAATATGTTATTTCATTTTAATTTCATTATAAATTTATTTTCCAATGCTATTTTTAGTTTATTTGCCTTGATTTAATTAATTGATTTTGGTTGATGACAAGGAATCTTGTTAGAATTGATAAGTAACCCAATGTTAATGGAAGATAAATAAGAATAATTTTTGATGTTGATGTGCGTAAATTTACGTGATTAACAGTATTAATTGCTACTAAGATACAGCAAAAACTATCATGGTTTGACTATGGATTCAAATTTCATGATAGTCATCTATTTAAGAATTAATATTTTTTTTATCTATTTTCTTGACGACCAAATGGAATAAGGTCATACTATTATCTTATAAGATTAGTTGAAGTGCGTGATCCGAACATCTACAGGTCTTTCAAAAAGAAAGAGATATGTTTATGCAAGGATTTGCACAACGTCAAACTTGGTCAAGCTCGAATTCGATGCTCACCCCAACTAAGAACTCGCT